AATATTGCATATCCCCCTACCATGGAAATGCCCCTAATCAGTTTTTTCTTTACACCGAAATGCTGCGCCAATATTAACCCCAGTCGCCTTTTCCGTCATAATGCCTGGATTTCCAAAACCAAATTATCCTCCCCGAATCCTATAGGTCAGGAGACCTATAAGAACCTATAGGGATCCTATAGGATTCTAAAGGATCCTATAGGTTTTTCGTGTTTCAAAAACCTATAGGAAAGTCTATAGGTTTCCTATAAGAAATAGCTAAAGGTTTCCTATAGGACATTTCCGTAAGGGATCTAACGTGGATNATCCTATAGGTTTTTCGTGTTTCAAAAACCTATAGGAAAGTCTATAGGTTTCCTATAAGAAATAGCTAAAGGTTTCCTATAGGACATTTCCGTAAGGGATCTAACGTGGATTTGGGACTGTCCATCGGAAGTCCGATCGTGTTAATACATCGTTGAACCGATGGGAAATTGAACACTTAGAGCATTTTTATTTACATAGACTGCAAGGAAGGTCTCCCGTTGACAACATGGCTATACATGCGGTTTATTGTATCCAGTACATAGTTTGAAGCATATGAAAAAGTCTAAATATTCGAAGAAGAGAAAGATGTCGCTAGTCACCAGGGGCACCTGCGCCTTCGCCTCCTCTCTGAATACTCCTCGCATTGGTGTCTTAGGCAAGTGAAAAATTGTCTAACTGAGGTGAAAAACACTGTACCAAGAATAATCGGAAATTCCCGAAAAATTTTCCGGTGTATGGTCTGAAGGGGAATAGACTTGCGTTGTGCGACAGGCTAAAATTTCATTAGTATCTACCACAGAATACTTAATTAAATTCAACCCTATTTCCTATCACGTGCAATGACTTATCCAGCAGAAGCTAGTAAAAATTTTTTAAATGTTTCTCTCGCATTCCTTGAAGCTGCTCTTCATTTCAGCCTTACGCTGTCGGGATCCCTTCAGGAAGCCGTTGAAAGGCGCACCATCGCCGCTCCGAACGAACTTCTCTGCGATTGTCGCGACTATCATCATCTCTGATGGGACGCGCGGATGTCCCGAGGCACGGGGGTCTTGTCTTTTCAGGGTCCGGGGAACCCTGATACAAAAAATGTAGGCTGTTGTGATGGCTGCGCCGTAAAATTGGTAAGTCCAATGCTTCGTATATTTCCGTGAATATATGTGACTTTCGAGTTTGTTTGCCTGAAGGACAAACAAACTCGCTATGGTGGCGCCTTCGGCGCTCTATTACCGTGTATCAATGCACTAGTTTTTTTGCGGAATGGGAAAAACGTATTTAAAGTACGTCCCCATTGAAATGCGTGATATATGGGGTCAAAAGTCTTGATTTTGATCAAAATCATTACCACTATAATTCTATGTGTGCCAAACTTGAAATCTTTTCTTGTATCCCTTTTTTAAAAGGTGAAGAATTCATTTTGAAATACTTCCCTCCAATAATCTACTCTAAAGAGACATATTTCAAAATTGGGATTATTCCTCTCCTCAGCCATCAAACAGGTACTCCTGAGGGAAGTTTAAATTGTCTATCTCTGGTTTGTTGAAGCAAAAAAAAATCAGGAAGATGGGACTGAAAAAAGTGCCATAATGGGTTGTCACGAAATTTTTTTTTCTTTTGAAATGTAGACTCAGGGAACTCCATGCCACCTATTTTCAGCCTTATACGTTTCCTGCTTTTGCTGAGGGAAAAAATGTATTTGGAAAAGCGACCCACTCAAAAGCTGTGCTCTGAGGAGACGCATAAAAAAGTTTAATTTTTCCTGTAATCAACATCACGTCAGTGATGCGTGCGCCAGCTTCTTTTCTGTCTGCCCGGTAAACTACATGCCCACAAAGTTTCAATATGATACGTTTGCCCTTTTCGCTGGTGAATAAACATGCTTGGAAAAGCCGACCCACCCAAAAGCTATGGCCAGAGGGTATGCCCCATGAAAGCTAAATACTCCCTCAGCTCACTAAGATCATGTCATTTATACGTGTGCCAAGTTTCACCTTTTCATTTCTGTCTGATTCGCCACGACAATTTTTTTTTTCAAGACATCCCCCCTCGAAAAAATTCCCCCAGGGGAGGTATCGAGATTTAACATTTTTTATTTAACTCTGTCTCAGTAGTCACATTCATGCAAAGTTTCAGCTTTCCATTTCCATCAGTTTAACTAATACAAAGAAATTAGAAATACATCCTTTTGAAAGTTGTGCATCCAGGGCATTTACTTCTAAAGTCTGAAGTTTTCTGAAGCATCCCAAAATGTACTTATGTACCAAGTTTCATCATTCCACAATAGTTCAATACGCCAGGATAAAAAAAAAAATTGAAAACGTCGGCTCACAAAAATATGCCCCCAGGGCATGGATCTAAAGTTTTTCATTTTTTCTGAACTCATCATCTCTGTTGGCACATCCATGCCAAATTTAAGCTTTCCATGTCTCTCCGTTTTACTCAAGCAAAAGTAATGTTATGGTGTTGGAATGAGTAACGGGACATGGAAGGTAAAATATGACTCAAATGTCGAAATCGTGAGGGACAGTTGCTTACTTTCATAATGGAAGAACCCTCATCATTGGTGACATCTACAGAAGTTTGACTTTCACTAACGAACTTCTGAAGACAATTACGCATGTGGTTGGAACTCTACGGTCGAAAAGGGAACAAAAAAGTCCGTAAAAAAATGTTGTCCCTGATTAGCTTGCTTGTCAGAATGTGGAATAGTTGTTCTGAAATGGAAACACACCAGAGTCGCCTGTCTAATTACAACTCCTCATCGGCCACACACCACAACAGTGTTAACCGGGAGGTAAAGAAAATATGGGATGGGATTCGAAAACCAAACAAACCTGTGGTTATTCAACACTGCAATCAAGGAAAAGCTGCAATTGATATTTTGGACCAATTGACTTTTATGCGCCCAGTCTCCCAAAAGGGCTCAGATTAACGGAGTCGCCTATGGAATTTCTCCTTGGTAATTCGTAAATGCTCTGATTATCCATTGCATGGTGACAGGAAATAGAATGAAGATCATCAAATTCACAGGATCAGTGGCAATCGGGCTTCTTGACCGTTGAATGAACCTTGATTCAACGTTCGTGGAACGTTCGGATGTTGAATCAACGTCGAGTCAATGTTGTTCCAATGCCATGTGCTAATAGCGGATATACCTCAAAATGAAAAAGTCACTCGCTCAAGGAATAAAATGGGTCATTGTTCCATGGATGACTATATCATGTCACTTCTCATTCACCACGAGGCAGAGCTATCAAATAACTTAGTGAAATCCATGCAGCGTCAGCCAAACCAGGTAGACATGACTTTGAATTAAGTGTCAGCCATCCGTGGCTGACAGGCCTGTCACTAACTTCGTAGTGTCATTCACAAATGGCTGAAATGGCAAACAATGTGTTATAGTGTTTTGCAAATGAATTCGTATCACTTTTAAATTTGTGCATGTTAATTCAACAGTGCATCAAATCAGATGGCAGAGGAGGTCAAATTATTGTTTCCATTCAGAAGAATAGACATCTCCCTCTCTCTCGATAGCGCCACTTCGCATCAGTCAGTCTCTTGGGAGCTGCCTTACAGGGAAGATGACGTCGGACTGCCAGTGTGAAAGAATAGACGAGTCGTAGAGACACAGGATCTTTGCCAAGCCACAGGTTGAGCAGGCGTGTTCACTCGTGTCCCGAGTCCTGAATGTCAAAGTCTCGACATACGTCACGTGCATATTTTGGACTGTCTATTTGAAGATAGCTACTACTGTCAACATCCTCGGAGATATATCAATACATCTGGTACCAACTTTTTTTCCCTTGTGAGCATTTATTTATATCTTATTCGATGAGAAAATAACAAGTGACTCCTTCCTTCGCATTACTTCTTTCCTCGTGGAAAATTTTTCCTGGTCCGGAATATCTTGGTTGGTGAATACATGTAAACAGGTAATACGTGGGAAAGAGCAACGTGTAATTCCCCTAAAGATTGAGATATAAATAAACGCTCAAAAAATATGGCACCAGATGTATTCCTTCCTGTAGTGGTAAGGGTATTTAAGCCCTGTCTAGGGCCTCTCTGGATCCTATCCAGCAGAGGGTCTAGGAGCGCTTTCAATCGTGAGTTACCATTGTTGCATGTATTCATCTTTTAGGTTTGCCCATACGTTGCTTTGCTTTCCAAGTGCAATACTTTTTTGCTATTACTGATTCACGACAATATTTATTTTGCATAAATATGTTTAAGCAACGCATTAACATATTTCGTAACTAATTTTTAGCAAAATTAATTTCCTTCGTGCTCCGGAAGAGAAGGGAGTTCCAAAGAGTTGAAAATGAGGATATAAGAGTTTCGAAGGATTTTATTAGACACTGGGGGGACCGGAAGGAAATCCTCCACACCTACAGGTAACGAAATTTTTCTACAAGCGGAATTCAGAATTCCTCTTAATATTACTAAGCTGCCATGAAGACCCAGTGATTGACCTTCAAGGACCTAATTGGGCAGTGACTTTAAAGGGTAGATTTTAGTTTGAACGGGGAAAAATATAGGGGGAGGATTGAATGGGAGGGGGGGTCTATGATGGGAAAAAGCCTATGAAGAATGGTTTTCACACTCTTTCATCAGAATAATTTGCGATTGGTCAAGGCAAAGAGCCTTCGATGAGGCAGTCTTCAGATTCCATTTCTCCGACATTTCTGTCAAAAATTTTCCCTTCCATCGTGCCGAAATATAACTAGTACATGATAATTATAGACAGTTGCGATGAAGTATAGTATATTCCAACAGCAACCTCTGGATTTTAAAAAACTATATTGAATAGGAATGCCATCACTTTTTGTATTTTCAGGTCTGACGTAACTCGTGCAAGAAGTTTGTAAATTAGAAAAATGAGGAAGATTCCTGCACTTCTTCTTCTTCTATCCGTCTTCACCCAAAGGAATTTCGGAAATGTAAGAAAATGCATATTCCATGAATGCAGTACTTTCACCATGCATGTAATCGCAATTTCGGCAAAATATGCTCTCAATATTTCATTTCTTCCTTCATTATATTATTCAATAACTCATATCTCAAATGAAATATTTTCAAATTCGAATTTTTAGGGGTCATTACAGAGACTAGCAACCGATCCCGTCTCAGAGCAGAGGTTCGCCAAATTGGAGGAGACGGTGTTGGCCTTACTGGCAAAAAATCAAGAGCTTTCAGAAAGCATCGTTCAACTCAAGCTTGATGTAGAAGACCTTGAGCAAGAAAGTGAAGAGTCCAAGAATCTTGCTGCCATTCATACAACAGGCGTTTACTTTGATGCGTATAGAACTTCTGACTACAACAATACGGGCACAGTAATTACGTATCATCTGGCAGAGATAAATTACGGAGGCGGAATAGACAAGAATTCTGGAATCTTCACCACACCCGTGAGCGGGATTTATGCTTTCCATTTCCATTGTCTGAATTATGACGATCAAACTATGATTTACCTGAGGAAAAACGGAGGTATCAAAGGGGTTTTAGTGGCTGAAGGCTCTGGAATTCGTCATATGTCAAGCCAAACCATCCTTGTTGATCTCTTAGAGGGAGACACATTCCATGCATATTTATATAGAGGAAAAGCAAGCGCGCAGTATGGACAGGTTATTCATTTTGTCGGGTACCTGTTGCAAGCCCTGTAAAATGGACTGTGCCCTTTTCAAAACCCGGAATGAAGAAATACAGACTGTTCGGGCGTAGAACTTTCCTCGTTTCTTTTTTTTTCCCAATTTGTTTAAGTCTCGCTCATCCCTTTAATATTGATTAAATTCAATGTATCGCAGCATGGTTGAAACTCGAGTGAGGAAAACTGAAGGAAGTTTCAACATTTACCGCATGCGAAAGAAAGCGGTGAAAATGCAGATGTTTGCTCGTTGAATGTCTGTTTTTTTTTCCGTCTCTCCTTTAACGCGCTAGCAGCTCTCCATGGAACAAAAATGTATGTGACGTACCGTTTTCTTCATTCTACCGAGAAACTAAAGCGGATAATTGAAAATAAAGTGACCCATCACGTACCCTGACATCATGGGTGCCAATTCATATAATACGACTCAAGAAATGTAAATGTACATAGTTTCCATCCGATCCGGGGAAGAGGTCAAGGGTGTAATCAACTCCAAAATGAAATACTTGAACTTCAGTCAAGACACATGCCATTCAATAGAACACTACGTTTTCGCGATAGAAGATAGAAAACGGACATATCGCCACTGTACTGAAAAGAAAATTGGTCCGTCGAAACCGTACACGTTAGTCCATTTCCACATTACAATGTTTTTTTTTTCCAGGGGGAAATACATCGATAGGTATTTCTGAATCATATCAGTAACTTTGAGACCGAGGCGGATCGTGCAAAGCATCATACAATAATTAAAGGACATGAAATCCTCACTACGATTCAGTTGAACACTCAGCCTCCCAACAACTTTTCATCAACATATAAACAGTACGAGGAAATATGACGGTTAGTAGAACAAAATATGCTCCTAAACTTTGAGGTGAGCCGGCAACAAATCGGCATTATAACGAGTTCCCTCATATATGCAACATGCATCTGTTCTCTGTGCTTTTCCAATAATAATTGATCCTTTCCCGGCAGACGACACCGGGGAAGGTATTGCAACATATTTACCATACATTGAAGAAAAATATTGGTTTCTAGCCGACCCGTGGAAGACATCCACGCACTCTTCGGCAAGAATTCCCGGGTTCATTCGGTGGCCCTAAAACTCAGTGGCCCTCTCATCGCTATAGGCTCAGCACCTCTTTCCCATCCTTTACGCGTCCCAACGTACAACCCTTGGAGTCCTCTTTCATCCCGCTGAATGAAGGATGACTTCCTCGTCGGAGTGGGATCCTCGCCCTCATATTTATCGGGATCCCGACCCCTTTGTTGATCGGAACCCCGTTCTCGCATTGATTGACTCTTTTTCCTTTCGATCACAACCCCGTCCGTATCGTCCGTCTCCATCACTTTTCATGCAAGCCAATGAGTGAAACATACGAATATGGAAACTGGATGTTAACGACTCGACCGGCAGGGTCCTTGCGATCCAAGGAGAAGCCTTTCTGTTCAATCCCAACCGGATGGGATCCCGCCGCTTTCACCCTCGGAAGTTACGTTACTTCGCGCGGAGGAAAACGGGACTCGAAATTTTGTACGTGGATCTTCCCGCGTGAAAAATCGTTTCGAGGTTCGAACAACCCTCAGTAAGGGGAGGGGGGTGAGGGCTTCGCAAGGCGTACCATGACTCTCTCTCGCTTTATCAAGAACGGATCCAACAGTAGGGAAGGCCGAACTGAAAGTGCTACGTCCAGAGCGCGAGACGGGCTCCCCAACCCGCGGAAGTCTTCCACGAACTGTTTCTCGGGAATTCCCGAATTCAGTCAGCAGCCATCTCAACGATATAAGCAGCAGCTGCTCAATCGCGTTCTCGAGAATGACCTGTTGATGACTTCCACGAACGTGGTCGGTCTCGGCCAGGGGTGTCAAACTGTCGGCCCTCTGGTTGATTTCGTCCGGCCCACAAAGTCCTCTTCGACAGTTGCTTTTGGAAAAGCGTAGTCATTTTCAACCTGTGAGCAATTGAAACTTTGGTGTAAGACTAGCTAATGAGGACTCAACCACTCCTGAGGGGTTCCATCCGGCCCCCAGCTTAATCAAGTTTGACATATCAGGCCGAGGCTAAGTGTGTAGCATTTTTGAATATTCACGAGTTCAGTCAGCGGCCCTAATAATGCTCTACGCACAGCCGCTCGAACATTGTACGTCTTGTACATCCCCCCACCCTTCCCCAAGGTGGTTTTCACGCCTACGATACGGACTTTGAATGAGTGGCACTCGCATCCAGTATCGATCGCGTATCGTCCATCTCCACCACTTTTCATGTAGACCAATGACCAAAAAAATTCGGATAGAGAAACGGGATGGTTACGACGCGGCCGATGTCATCTTTCCGATCCAAGGGTAAGCGCTCCTGTTCCATACAGGTGGGATCCCGTCGTTTTCACCCTCGGGAGTCACTCTCCTTCTGAGCGTGCCGATCAGTAAGAGGACGGGGTTCCGATCGATAAATGGGTCGGGATCCCGAGAAATATATATGGGCTGAGATCTCATCTCAGCGAGGAAGTCATCCTTCCTTCTAGGATGAAAGGGGACTCCAAGTGTAATACGCGGGGGGGGGGGCGTTTTACACGTCCCTGTGGAAAAATCCGTCTCGGGTCCCCTAAGTAGGGAGCGAGGGGGTGTTCGCAGATTGGGTCTCTCTCCCGTTGTAGCGTTAGGGATGTCTTGGAGAGTTCCCATTGAACGTCTTGGGTGCGGTGGTGTAGTGGTATCACAGTGGATTGATCATCTTGAGGTCCCGTGTTCGATATCTGCCGACCCCAACATTCATTTTTTGTCCTATTATGCCATCCGAACTCTTCCTCCTTTCCCCCCCCCCCCCCCCCCCNTGAAAACGTCGACTCACAAAAATATGCCCCCAGGGCATGGATCTAAAATTTTGCATTTTTCCTGAACTCATTGTCTCGGTAGGCACGTCCAAGCCAAGTTTCAGCTTTCCACGTCTCTCGGTTTCATTAAGCAAAAAATTATGTTATGGTGGGGGAATGAGTATCGGGACATTGAAGGCAAAATAAAGCCAAGGAATGGCCTGGAATTGAACACAGACCTTCTGAGTGGCAGTTAGAGATGCTACCACTATACCACCTCACCCAGTACATCCAGTTGGCTCTCTGAATGCCATCCTCATCTGTCACCAAATATATTTAAGAAAAACGTTTCCCCCCAAAACTTGTACCCCCAGGGCATGCACCTCCAAAGTCGGATTTTTTCTGACCTCTGCATCCCAAAAGGTACATGTGTACCAAGTTTCAGATTTCTAGTACCTTCTAGAACACGGTTAGAATTAGCGTCAGTCAGTCAGTCAGTCACCATCGTCTATATATATTAGATATAATATATGAAATGCACACCGGATTCAATATGGCTTCATTTTTTATGCAAATTAATTACCGAGTAGGTGTTTCACATGGTAGGGGAATTTGTATTTTTAATACTAATACTGCCTACACCTGTACACTTTCTGCCATGCGCACTTATGTCGCAAGGATGCGCGTCCACTCCCTTCCGTAGAGTGAAGAATCATTCTCCACTCAGCAAAAGAAATGACAGATAGAACATGCGAAAATCACCTTCTTATTAAAACATCTTTCGGATAAAATAAAACTTCCTTCCATGTGGTTCTCATAGACAATATGAGCTTATCTTTGGCCTGGACTCCAGAATTCTTTCTGGCATATGTGGATGAAAAATGAGGAAGTGTCCAAGTTTATTGATGTCTACAATGAGGCAAGGCTAGACACATGGGGAGGTACAAAACACACTTGCGAGAGATGATTCCATGGGCACTTTTTGTGTACTGTGAGAAATGCGAGACCCATACCTCCATCTAGTGGCCTAAAGGAGAACTTCAAACGGAACCCTATGGTTCCAAGAGGGAACCCTATTGGTCCTACAGGAAACCCTATTTGTCCCATAGGGAACCTTCCTATAATTCCCGTATGTCCCTATGGTTTTTACTCTGCCAGAGTGACAGTGGCATGAACTGGACATTCTATTACCGCCTGATGAAGTGTTGAGACTTCCAGAAATGGCACAATTGGTGGAAGGAATTTTCCACGGGCTTCATGGTGGTTGGTGATGTCTGTCGCGGTGGTAAATTCAATTTCCATAGAGTGAAACCCAAAGTTTAGGTGAATGCAATGTTCTATCAAGAAAATGTTCAAACACTTCTACTCCGAGAAAAAATTCCTCTCACGTATGATAGCTATGTTTCAAAAGTAGAGTTACACCAAGACAAGGTCGTTCCTTCATACTTAGGAGAATGAAACGGGACTACGGGCTGTATCATATAACGACATCCCTGTTAAGGCATCAGATGTCCTTCCCATGGTCTTCTCAAGCGAGCACATTCCATTATAAGGGCAGGGCTCTGGAAGGTTGCGAAGGAAGAGTGGGAGAACTTGAACTTTTATTCGAAAAGCCTTAGCTGAATGGAAGCTGTGGGGCAGAGCCCTTTTAAAGAATTACCATTAAACTGAACATTACAAGATATGGAAATAATAAAAACGTCCACTTTACAATTCGGCCAAATAATTTCATTTTCCTTTGGGCATCCTTTGGTATAACCCGCGGATGACTTGGAGTTCCCCTGCGCCATCTCCCATCATCCCATGATAGTGTATGTATAATTTCAAAGGGGTAAGTCTGCCCCGGAACACTCCCTCCTTTACCTTGCACTTACACACTTCCTCCAGAGATTTCACTTCTCTGAATCCCCCGAGATGTATGCATGATCCAAGTAGAGCGTCTCTGCATGACCATCGAGGTGATGAAGGAAGGAGGAAATCACAGAGAATCACAGCCCTATTCTTTCATCCAAGTACTTACATATAGAAAGGAGTCAAATTTTTCCGCGATCCATACACCCAAAATGAGTATGGGTCCCACATCAAGGAAGCTGCATTCTCCCCCACCTGAATCATCATCCATCCAGCTTTCACGGCGGAGATTCAGTCGTCCTTCCCAGAGATTTCTCTCTCTTCCCAAAAGAAAGAGGAAGTCTCCAAACTCCACTCCGGTCTTCCATTTCACGAAAAAAGGAGGGTGGATGTGAAGTTTGTAGTCTCTTCCGTAAAGGGACTCACAGGGATCCTCCCCCTCCAGATGAAATATCCGAACTTATCTTTCTGTCCCGTGAATCAGATTGTCGGAGTGAACGAGAAGGAGCGAATCCGTCTTCACCTGTCCCCATGGCGAGTTTTCTTGTTGCGACTGCTAGAGAAACATTATTCGAGTTGAAAAACCAAGGGATGGAGAATTCGAGTAGAAAATGGAGAGGGGAAAATATATTTTCTTGAGATAAATAGAGAGAAAGTGGATGACATGATTTGAATATTCCGGATGGTCCCCTTTCTTCACGTTAGGAGTGCATCATTCGCAATCCACAATGGACTCTCTCTGGAAGAAATTCTTATTTCCATGGATTCGATTATACCACCGCCTCGGTGGTATAATCGAATATATAAATTTCACATGGGTCCTTAGAGTTCAATGTTTACCATCGCTTGTCCATTTTCCCCACATGGCTGCCCCCACTCGTATCCCGTTCTTCTTAGGTACAATGGACGTATGTTTTTACCAGGCCGCTCGAGTGTTCTCTAAAGGTTTTCAGCGAATTCTTCCATCCCCAGCCAATGAGGAGATGGAGGTGCTGGCCATATTCATAGCTAATAAATAAGAAGTAAAGATTTCTCCTTTTTAATTCAGGAAGATAACCCGTGCTCAAATATTGTACGATGGGCAAAAGACAAATTAAGAATTTTACTCTTGACTCGTGATGGAAACGGATGACATCGAATACAAATGAAACTTCATGGTAGCCTCCCTATATCCGTCATGAATGCCTATTCCTGGTAGCAAATCCATTTTAAAACCTTCCTACGGATCTCAAAAAGATAGAAGAACATCATCGTTGTAACGCTATGGAATCGCTGCATGCAATGAGAAAGTAGATGTTGACTGTTCCTTAAAACCGATCAGTAGTTGATAGAGGCGATCCTTGCAATCTCGTGCTGAAACCATGAACCAGCTGCTTAAGCAATTACTTAGGGCTGTACGACTAAAAATAAATCAATCATTTTTATTAATATCTTTCACATAACACAATACATTTCGATTTCAAAAGATCAGTATTCATCAGGAGCGAACATTAAAGATACAAATGAAGATAAAGAAATGTAGGCGTAAATAAATGGACAGACAACCAGTCGAAAATTTCCATCAGTAATTAACCGCGCCTAAAGTTAGTTGCAATTCCATCGTCAATCCACATGCGCAATTTAAACTACACTGTTCGTCAAACAGGATTGTCGATGTCGCATCTAAAGGTCGATTGGAAGGGCTTTATTGTGGGTATTCCTCTTCGAAAGGAGGCTGGAACTCTTCCTCCGGCCTTACTCCGCCTCCAGGTTGATTCGAGGGTCTATTGCTTGGTCTTTGGAGGCTATTGCTGGGTCGATTGGATGGGCGTTCTTGTGGCTGTTCCTCTTCGAAAGGAGGCTTGAACTCTTCCTCCGGCCTTACTCCGCCTCCAGGTTGATTCGAGGGTCTATTGCTTGGTCTGTTGGATGGTCTATTGCTGGGTCGATTGGATGGGCGCTCTCGCATGGGAGGCGTTTCTGTCCCGGCAAGAAGAGGGATTTGAAAGGGTAACTCATCCCTATTGTGAGGTCTATCTCGATGTCGATCACCTCCTGGCCCTCTATGATGATCACGATGGCCTCCGCCGGGTCCCCTTTCCTCTTCAACGTCGACCTCCCCTAGTTGTTTCATAAGCTCTTCGTCCGACATGCCTCCACTTCCTCTCTCGCATTGTTGGATCTCATCCTCTCTCCCCTGTCTTCGCAGATCTTTTCTTACCTTGTCTCCGAACTTCTTTATCTCCTCTCTGAATATATACCGTTCATATAGGAACAAATTCACCCCAGACATTGAAGTCCTATCTCCACATTCAATTTGAAATATTTATGAAAATGTTTCGACATTCAAAGGATTTTCAGGGCATTTCAAGGCCGGGGTTCTGTGCTTAAAATCTTCCCCAGTTAAAATTTGACTGTATAGTTAGTGGAAAAATATGTTACTCTCATATGATATAGGTAACATGATCATATTAATGTAATGTATTAGAAACGAACTTAGTTTGAGCAAACTAAGCCTTTAATTGATTTCATTGTCCAGTTTCCTTGAGAAACATCTTCAGCTTCCCTGCTAATTAACATCAACACAATAAAAAATGAGCAAATAGGTCTGACTGACTACTCCTGCTCCTTAATTTACTTGAATCTACATGGGTAATCCCCTCATAGAAGCTAATAGGAATAACGATTTCTTCAATTATTTAAAATATTGTATAATAAAAAGGGAGGAAGGAAGAAACTAAATAGTGGTACTGTAAGTGGATCCTAAGAGCATGTGATTACCCATCCCCTACAGATGGCGCCATTCTGTGTAGACAGAGAAAAAATTTTTTTATTATTATGCAAATAATATAATTAGGCAATGACGGTGTGAAGCTGTGAGAAAATGATTTAAATCTTTTATGTTTTCATTTTTCAATGTCAGCATGAGACGTCGTTTTGGGGGAGGGAGGAGTAGTCACATCATTTTCTGATTCCACGATGACGGAAACTCGAAGATTCGCTGACTTAAGATTTCCCTTTGGATGTATCGGAGAAGCTATTCTCACCGAACTTTAATGAGAACAATATTGACATAACCTGGTGTCGTTACTGACGACTTCCCTTAATTGTAACACTCAGCGGGTGATTATTTGCATGAGTGCCTTTTCTGGGTTTGCACAAATGGAGCTCATAATGTATGAAGACGTGATCGGAAATTTCGGAGTTGGGGAGAGGAGAGACAATCTTAAGCCTGATTACTTCCTCCTTTTGTGCGACTGGATGTGATTAATACTCATTAACGATAGCTGAGGACTTTGTTAATAGGAACGATTTTGACTCAATAGTCCCTAAAGGAAGAGGCGCCTTTTGATATGACATTTTGGCCTTTGCCTGACATGAAGGCAATCATAAAATGAATTGCACTTGACTAACTCAGTTTTCTTAGAGAGCCTCTTGAGAGCTTCTCTGTCGCCAGTCAGTCTGAGAATGCCGCAGATGGCCTCGTCTGCCAGACCCAAGGGAGCTAAGACGTTGGCGATGAGGTCAGCGATCTTCCCGCCCTTCCCGCCCTTTCCACCCTTCCCGCCCTTCTTCGCTTCCCGCCGTATCCTCTTTCCTGAGGTTGGAGAAAAACTGTAGGGAAAAACGGGGAAGAAGGAAAATTAAATGTAAATATTATGTTGTAAGGTAGTTCAAATTAACGTTCGCATCCTTCAATTTGCTGATTTCCTGTGTAGGTCTTAATAGCAATAGGAATATGACCTATATATTTTTCTTTTACTGTTGTATTTCCACTACCTTGCGATGCTTTTACGCTAGAGATACAGAGTTATTGATGAGCTATTTTTAAGACCAACGACTGATCTCCTATCACTTAAATGGAGGACCAATTCATCCCCAGCCTCAATCATTTATCTCCCTGGAAAACGCAACCAATACTACCCGACAAACCGGGGTTGGGTATTTCAATTGTCTACAGAATCTTGTTCCAAAAACGCCGAGGAAGTTTCCACCCCGCTTGACTTTTTCAGTTTCGGACCCAAGGCGAATCTTGTGCCTGCGTCCTGACTTTATATCATTAAACAGGAAATGGATGCCTTGAGCATTCTTTATGTGGACTCCGTCCACCCAACGATATTTAGAACGTGATTTCAGGGTATTTAATATATTATGTATCATTTAACCGAAAACAGCAATACTCTCACAATAAATCGTACGAATGAAACATTTTCATGGAATCGTTCGTAATTCTTAGGGAAATCGGAGAAGTTTTTATTATTTATTTTTATTAGTTATTGCCAACAAATGCTACAATATTCTCTATGGCGGCAGCGATTGGATTTACTACCATTCATTTTGCATATTTGTCCTCACTCAAGGTTATTGGTGTTACCTTTCGCAATTCCTGATATTTGATATATGATAGGAAGCTCCTGTAACAAAATTCATACCTATCGCACGAGGGAATAGAATATTCAGCCACGCCGATTCAAGGCAAATGCTTTGAGCACTATAGAATCTAAATTGCTGTGAATATAGCGAAGGAACCATTGAGAAACCAGAACTTGCGTTCTTAATATCTTTCCACAAGGAAATATTTAATGGGAATAAATAAGTATACGATCCGTTAACGAATGGATGAATGGATAAACGAATTTCGTTAGTCAATTTCAAATGAGAAAGATGTATGAAGACATCATTCGAAGGAAAGCAAAATCTCTCATCCTGATCAAAAGCATGGAGAGAGACTTAAGACCAGAGAGACATTTACTTAATTACGAAATGAAGATTAAAAGCTTGGGTTTTTTCGACTTACGTGTCAAGAGAAATGGCCAGACAGGAGGAAATCGCGAGCAAAAGGAAGACAACTAGGTGCTTCATTTCTGCAATAGAGGATATTCGCCGTCAGGAAAATTCGCTGTCAGTGTGAATACGCAAGCCTGGTCTTGGAGGATGCCACGGAAACTACATGGCTTCTCCTTGCTTCTCTCCCAAATTAAAAGGAAAACTTACCGACAGCGTACGTGCTCGCACCACAATGCTCGACGTCCGAGGGGCTATTGCCAGGGGCGTCAGTGCACTCGCGGACGGACATTCACGCGCTTAGTCTGCATCTTATTCAAGGTCACCTTTCCCTCTCAATGCTCCGTGATTAGAGTTTAATGCAAGCATTGTCAAGGGCAAATCTTGGTCACGTCTACGCAATGTGCGAGGTGAAACAAGTTTCTTACATCTCATATTTAATACACACCATCAAGATATCTGACTTAACGAAATCCCCTTCCATGTTGAAATATTTCTCCTTTCTCTTCCGCCAGCTCTCCATGCCTTCTCTATAGAAGCTTTTATCTTTGGACTCGAGCCATTCGAGGATGGTGGACATGGGATTGGTCATTGAGTTCCAGTGTTTCCACTTGATACTCTGCTTCAGTTTTAGAAACAGGAAAAAGTCGGAATGGTCGAAGTTTAGACTGTTGGATGGATGATATTGCAATTCCCAGCGAACCTTGCACAGGGCAGGCGCAATGTCATGGTGAAACCCGACAGCTGATATAACTTTCCTGGTCGCATCTCTTGCATAGCTCTACGAAGCTTATGAAGCACCTACTCATAGTAGGCACCTGTGACTGTTTTACCTTCATCGAAGAAGTTCACCACGATCACCCATTCCGCATCCCAGAAAACAGTCGCCATAAGTTTCGGAGCCGACTTCTGAACTTTGAATTTGATGGGTCCTCGTTGAAAAACTCCACGCTGCAATCCGCCCTGTGATTCTGATCTGGGAGCAACGCTTTTGGTACCCCACAACCAAAAACATCGCTCAGAATCAGCTTCTCCTTCAGTATGGAATGCACAGATCCAGTAGATATTCCAAGAGTCTTTTCCATCACTTCCACCTTGACTCATCGGTCTTGTTCCACCATGGCTGGCACGGAACTGCTTTTTTCAAAATTATCAGTGACTGAGGTTGCCGGCCGACCACAATGGGGACGGGGATATTCTCTATTTGACGTCCGTATCCAACCCTGTCTACCCAGAGGGTTTCCGATTCCGCCTTTCGTATGCCACGGTGTCCAAGTGTGAGGAGAATTAGGTCGAATTCGGAACCCACTGTTTATTTTTTTCGCACTCGGCGATGCACGCCAACAGTCCAACGGTGTGGATCGGAGCCATCACAACAGGAGATCTGAAAGAGAAGCCCTTCAACTTTGAGTTCCTCGACGTTACACCCAACGATTACCACAATGTAAGGCAGTCCTCCTCGATGCCTCTGAATTGCCATCCGGACTGCGGGATCCTCCTCGTGCCGGATCGGTGGGAGAACCGGATCTGCTCGGAAACGAAACTTGTCTCCTGCTACTCCAATGAGTCCCACGGCGAGGAATGGTACTGTTGGACTGATCCGGACACCGACTCATGTTTCCACATCTCGACGCTACCCTTCGCCTTCGATGCAGCCAGGTCTTACTGCCAGCAATTTCCTTCAATCGACATCCTTTGTGTCAAAGACCAGGAATGGAAGCAGACGATAATGGCGTACTGCTTCGAAGTGAATTGCCCGCGTTCCCTGCCGTCAGGGGAGAAATTTGGATCGGCTTGAGGCAAGCGTCAGGAGAGTGGGGATGGGTGGACGGATCGCCCTTCGCAGTGGACCGGTGGGACGAGGGCCAGCCCGATTATCAGCTGAAATAAATATTCATTTCAAGCTTAATAGATTGCATAGTTCTTTTCATTCATATGAACTATAGGACACGAGCATTGTGACATCGACACAATATCGGTCTACATTTGTTTCCCTTCTCGCTATTGACACCGGAAATATAATTAAAAACTTCCTAAAAGGCCTTCTTCCGAATACAATAAAGGAAAATTACCCCACCATGAATCGACGATTGATGTTCTATGAATTTGAGCCATTAAATTATGTTAGAATCTTAATTCTTTTCCGAGTGAAACGGGTTCTCAATTGTGAACTCCGCATCGGCAGTTTTGCATATTTGCCATTTTTTCCTTACATGTCCGTTGCTATATAAAACAAAATGGTGCTCGGTAGTATCTCGATTTCCAGCCACGATAATGGCTTACTCACTGAGGCTTAATGGAGTTTCAAGCTTCGGCAAGTGGATTTAGTTCAGTATCGGTCGTGAAAAACACGAGGTTGCCGATTTGGTTTATTTTATTTTGCAAATTTGGCAAACGAATTCAACCGAAGCAAACGCCCCCTAACCGATATTAAAGGCAGTCAAGTACGCCTTGGCCTGGGGAAAGGACACGATCCTTCGTGAAGGGAAAGGACCTTCATCGAAGACGTAAGTGACACGTTGATTAAAACTGAAGAGATCGAAAATTAAAGTGAAAAACGACGGAAAAGGCGACCGGGGTTAATATTGGCGCAATATTTCAGTGTAAATAAAAAACCGATTAGGGGTTTTTCCATGGTAAGGAGACATGCATTATTAATACCAGTATTGCTCAGGTCTGTACAATTTATGGCCCCGCCCAACATATGTCGCTAGATTGCACGTCTACTTCCTTCGGTTGAGAGAAGTATCATCATTCTCTCGACCTAAGAAAACAAGACAGAACCTACGAGCACGTCCATTTACTGAAATTCCATTTGGATAGAGTCTACCCAGTTTCGTAGGTGGTTTTCAAAAGGAATAAGGGCATATTTATTCACGGGACTCAATGATTCTATCTGGAAGATAGGGATGACAAATAAGGAACTGTCGAAGTTGATTGATTGCTACAATGAGGCAAGACGAGATATTTGGGGACGTACAAAACTCTCTTGTGAGAGATGATTCCTTGGGTAAGGGGAGGGCACGTTTGTGTCTTTGGCGTTAGTTTTTCACCTTTTTGAAAGGTATAAGTCCAAGAGTCTATTTTCAAAGTTATCTGATGGTGGACCTTGAGACATTCAGATCTATTGCCAGTTTTCTCCCCGACCACTGTGAATTTCTTGCAACACGACTTTTCTCTTTAAGAATGAGATTTTTGGTTCTTTCGGTGCTTGGGCGGCCAAATTTCGGTTGGTCATTAAAAGAAGGAAGTTCATTATATCTTTTGATTGTAGTATACACGAAGTTCCGCTTAATGCCCGTGTGGACTAGAAGACGAAACGTTTATCGCGGTTTTTGGCCGACAAGATGAAGAGCCACCATTGTACTGCGCCTTCTTTCTTTGTCCTGCATTACAATGAATCAAATACTCTGAATTATCCTCACCACAATTTATGAAGACAGAACACAGGGCTTTCAGATGCACATCTACGAATTTTGATATAGACTCCCGTTTCGAAATTACATCTCCCGAAAATTTGATTCGAACATGAAGCCCACCCTGTACATTGGTCATTCCATGAAATGTTGCTTGAAAAGTGGCAATTTCGCGTCCGACCCTCCGATTTGTATTAAATTTGGAGTACAGGGTTTACCAGCCGCAAAACCCCGTAATATCACATTTCAGACTCATCGGGCCAGTAGGTCAAATACTACATGCTGATGGTCAACATTTAGTATCACCAACAAACCGATTTTAATAAATCAGTAACTAAAGAACTATTTATAATAGACCCCTAGTTAAACCTGTCAATGCAACGGTTGGTCATTGACCATGCGAATAGATCCGGCAAACAATCACAAAAACGGCTAGGACCCTATAGATCTCACTCCTCTTCGGCTCAGGTGGACCTAAACGTTAAGCGCCC